TGTTCTGGCTCCATGAGGATAAGGACAGCCAGTCCTCCAAATGGCTCATGTTTTAAGGGGCATGAGAAAAGTTACATATTAAGAACTTCAATCCTGATCCAGAAAGTCAGCTTAAACCCCAGTGATCCACACCTTACTAGTCAATCTGAATATGCTAACCAGCTAACTAAACCAGCAACCCAGGCAGCACACAATGTTACACCTTCTCAGGAGACCAACTTCAAAGCTTCGGTCTGATCGATCATTACAAATACTTTAATAATTTTAATCAAATCCACATGCAGTAAGTTATGAAAAGGAGCGCGGGCAGAGTTTTCTGTTTTACGGCCATGGGCACCATCTCGTGTGTAATAAAAGCACCCACTACATGGTGACCCCACTTAAATAAACCAAATATAATTCTGAGTCCTGGTTCTGCTCATGGGCTCACAGGCTTTTGAAAGTGCACAACAGGCTAATTCCACCTTTTAACGAGCGCCTCCAATTCGGGAAAAACCAGCAGTGGCGTCGGGAAAACGGTCAGAGCAAGGACACCTTCCGAACGAACAGGAGATGGCGGCAGCTGTTTGCTAATTAACGTCATCCGTCGAGCTGCGGTTCCCCCCCGCCGCCATGCCACGCCGGTCGAGGCGGCATCCTGGAAGCCCGCTGAGGGTCGGTGAAACGTGAGAAGGCGAGGTGAGAGGCGGGAAGGCGGTCGTCGAGGAGCTCGTCTGGGGAAAACGTCGCAGCACAGCCTCCGCCTCCGCCATCAGCACCCCCGTTTCCGTCGTACACGGTTTCGTAGAGAGCCGAGACTCGGATGTCACGTCCCCTCGGTGGATCCAGGCGTGCCGGCCAACAGGGACAGAAGAATCAAGGTGTCACTCGTTTTCTGTGTTTTAATTTTCTCGGGGCCTGGCCCTTGCGAGCTCGCCGGCAGTGAGCCAAGCCACGCGCGGACCCTCCTAACGCCCACTGTCAAATTTACGACCGCTGTGATTTACCGGCCTTTTCGTTTTTTTTTTTTTCTCCCCTCGCGCTGTTGACGGAGAGCAGGGCACCACAAGCGCGGCATAAACACCGCCGAACAAGTTTAAACAGGGGGGGTCAGACAGCGTCTGTTTCGCTCCGGGCCACTGTGGGCAGTGGCGGCGAGCCCCACCCCCCACACCTCTCGCCCGCGGGTTCCCCAGAGAAGGTATGCTGGGACGAGGCCAGCTCTTAAAGCACGGCCCCCCCCTTGGTTTCAAGTTCCAACAAAGGCCCTCTCCAGCCCCCAGAGTCCCTCTGGTTCCTCACCTGATGTTACCCTACAGAACAGGTCTGACCAAAAGTTAACCCTTTTTCACCTGGAACCTAAAACAGAGGCCACCTTGGGGATAAGAGGTACAGACCCAGGAAGGCTGTAAATATTATTTCAGTTGCTTAGCAAGCCAGCCCTCCTTTCCCTGTTAACCCACACAGCTGCAGGCTACCCTCTTCCCACTTACACACACACAAACTCTGCTTTAACTGCTCAGGGGTTCTGGGACATTCAGGGCACGATGTGGACAAGACACTCATCCGTCACGGGGTTCGCTGAACCGGTGCAGCGTATTAGCTTGGGAGAGTCCCGCCCCTAACCGTAAAGCACAGCACTACCTGCATTAGCATCACAGGGAAAGCCTGTGCCAGTGATCGTGTTGTAGATGGCGCTCTTCGCAATGCATTCAGGACTGCTTTTTCCTGTCTTGCATGCAATGCTGCAACTTTTCACATCTATTGCATTTTTCGCCTAGAAAGTCAGTTCAAAACCTCCTCCTTAACAGTTAATGAACAATTAAATGCAAAAGATAGTCCAGATAAAGAATATCGTTTTTAGATATCAGCGCCCTTTAGTTTGTTGAACATCGAAGTAAAACAAACAAAGAGGATCCAGCTCCCTAAAATTACCTTTTACGTAAAGGAGCCCCCCACCCCCCCATTTTCAAGCTCCAGCGTTTCTGTCACACTGCGCATCTTCAGGTCCAGAAAGTAAAAATACAAACAAAGACTGTATTTCAACCAACCAGTTGAGTACTCTACGGCTGTAACTCTTTATACTCAATTGGCTGGTTGAAACAAAATCCTGGTCTGGATTTATACTTTCTGAACCTGAAATGTCCACCTCCGTGCCTCGCTGTTACCACGCAGTGGGTACGAGCGAAAGGCCAGAGATGCACCGGGGAGGGACGTGGTGGGTGGGTGGGTGGGGGATGAGCTCTGCAGGATCGCGGGCGGTTTTTCCGAGCAGTCGCGCTGAGCTGCATTCACTCTCTCTCTCTAGCAATCCCATTTGTGGGGCCCCATATTAACCCTGGCTGGCATCTCTGAGGCCTTTAACACAGCAGATCGCCCGTGCCCACAGCAGTTGTTCCTCTTGCCTGAGGGCATGCTGAATGTCATATTGTGTTTAATTAGGGCCATTAAATATAATTTAATTTGGCTGAAACTTCAGACCTCTAAGTGGCAATATAATGCATTGAAAAAGCCCGTGTCCTGCTGAAATATTTAATTCAACCCTCAAGTGGTTTTCAGGGACCGTCCTGCATACTCGAAGGTAACCTTGACTTTTCTTGCTGTGAAAGCAGAGTGATTCGGCACCAGGGGGGCTGAAGCCGGAACGAGGAGTCATTCTCACATAGGAACCTTCTCAGAAAGTGGCATTTTCACTATCTCTGCTCTTTTCAACCCAGAATCATTCAAGGCTTCTCCGCAGACAGTGGCAGGGATCAGTGACTGGTCATGTGACTTTTATTTATTTCTGTTGGCTTTCTTAGCATAGCGATACCAGCCAACAATGCCAGAGAACAGCGTGCCAGCGGGATCATTCCTCTCACCGTATAAGCAACCCATCCAAAAACACAAACAGACAAACAAACAGAATGACATGCCATCAAACTGGCTGTCAGCTAGGGCGGAGCAGGAAGTGAGCGTGTCTGTCTCCGTCACGGGACCGACCGATTCAGTAACTCTAGTACACGTCTGTAGAGACGATGATAAACAGGCACTCAAAAGTGGGGAAACTATTACAAATAATGTAAGCCAGCGATTATCTGCCTTCTCTGACAGCACCCTAAATGTTCTCACCTAAGTAAATGTGTCATGAAAAACAAAGATGTAATCATATATATATATAGAAAAACCAAAAGGTTTCTAAAGAGCAAGGGTAATCCTAATTTATTTACATATAATTTTGTCTTATTCAAAGAGACTTGATGGCTTAGAGAGGTATCCATTTATAAGACAGATATTTTTACTGAGGTAATTAAGAATATTTTGTTCTAGAATAAAACAGCTAAAGCGTCATGGTTATGAGCCGAGGATCTTAACCTTCATCTTATTGCTGCCCGTTAGGTACTAACTCTCAATTTAAAACCACGATCCATTTTGTTTTTCTTATTTTTATGCTTGTATGCTTGTATTTTTATGCTTTTATGCTGTGAGATATGGAGCCGGGCAGGATTATATAGGAATGGAGGGCGTACTGGGGATGGTGCTCGGTGCGCGAGGTGCACGGCCCAGCATCCGCGCTTAATCCGCTGCTGCATTTCTCACCCACCGACCTCCGCAAAAGAAATTGTAAAATATGCACATAATAAGTCCTGCGCTGTCTTAAACCGCCATTGCGGCGGAAATAAGCAACTGTGCAGACGATCAGCCTCTCGCCTCCTAGGCCGTCGTACCTGCAGCTGTTTTCGCTTCTCTCCTGAACTTTTCCTCCACTGTATTTTATAAATGCATTGATAAAAGAGATGCGATAAAGACGTACCCTGACCTCAGAACATATGTGTTTACTATTACTACTGTTGCATACTGTTAACTGATTAATTAGTTTGTTTATTTTTATTTACACATACATTTAATAGGGTGAAACGGACAGGTGCTCCCTTGATGCAGATTGGTTTGCGAATGATTTTATTAAAGACATTATTTGGGTGAGTCTCATACAGCCTTTGCATCCCCGGACTTAAGGCTAGTTGCGCGGTATTTGAGATGTTTGCCAAAGCCTGAATGGCGCGGAGTGTCAGATCCCACTGAATAAATCCCGTCCCCTCAATGCAAAGCAGCCCCGATGAGAGTGTGAGGTAAAGCTGCTGAGGACTTTATTAAGACTGTGTGCTGATTTTATATGCCACTTCCTTGCAGTTTCCTGGTAAGTTTGTCCAACCCCGAATATTATTTTATGAGACCAATTTTATAAGTTCCCCCTGGGTTCTGAGCAGAGGACTTGACTGAACTGTTTCGCAAGATAACTATGAGTGTTCTTTCCCTGCAGCTGCTGCAGTCTAAATGGCCTCTTTACCCTATTGAATAGGAAACTGGCTTTTTAATCCCCCTCTTTTTCAGAGTGTTTGAATTTTAATGAGCTTTTCACCTTTTAAGCAGATGGCTCAGGCTGGATTTCTTCATGACCGTTGGGTGAGTTTTCTGTCACATTTTTCACAATTAGTTTCAGCTGCCACAGTCCTTCAGGGTTTTAAAGCTTTGAGCCTGTGATGTGATGTTTCACTCTGCACGACACACACATAATGAAATCAGCTAAAGGGCAACAATCTCTCTTGAAGGTCTGTGTTGAACAGCGGTGACGTTTTGGCGGGGCGTACCTCAGCAGAGTGCACATGCGTGTTTGTGTGCGTGTGTGTGTGCCTGTTTTCGTCCGTGTCCAGAGGCAAGTCTAGAGGCTCAGCTTCTCAGGCGCTAGGCAAATGACGACTGGGCCCGTGAGCGCCCCCTACCTGCGTGGAGGCTTTCCTGCTTCGGGCAGATCCCCTTGGCAGGTGTCAGTCGTCCCTCCTCGTCCTCATCCTCGGGCATCACCTGGATACCGACCTCCACAGGCTCGGCCGGCCTCCGGAGCTCCGGCCGCGGCGACGACGGGCTACCGCGACCCGCCATCTTGTCATAGCAGGCTGGGCCGCCGCTCGAGCCCTGACAGAGGCGCCGCTTGTGCTCGATGAAGATCAGGATATCCCCCAGGGGGAAGTTGGTCTGGCACTGTCCGCAGGTGAGCATGTCGTGGGCGGGGGGCTCCAGCTCATGACGGGCCTCAGACACATGGCCGGTCTCAGCTGTCGGGGGGGAAGGGAGGGGGCACAAGCTGTCAGTCACAGCGACAAGCCCGCCTCTAACAAACATCTCACCGTCACCATGGCGAAATCCTGCTCCCCAGCATTCTACCCTGTTTATTCTTTAACGGAGAGTTTAATCTTTGTTTTGACGTCCTTCTACCCTCCTACTGGCTCAGCAGCCGGCAGTATCCAGTAAGGCCTTCTGCAGGATTACTGCAGAGCCGGGTTTTACAGTGGCTTCTTACCATCCAGGCCCTTTATCACGCCTGATAACATGATGGGCTGTGGGCGTCTTCCGACATGCATGACTCATAACTTCTGTCAAGAAAGAGCCCTTCTCTTCCAAACATAATGGTCTTAGATTCAGCATGGTTTTTTTTTTTTTTTTTTTTTTAAACACACGCTACAGTGTAAAAAGGTCATTGCTTTCATAAACATACCTATAGCATGGAGAAAACTGTTTTCTGTACCATGAAGGGCTTTTGTCACAGCACAATCTGGCATTTGTGTTAGGAGTGAAAATTCTTCAGATGCAGTATTTCATAAATCCATCCATTCAAAGTCTAACTGCTTTCCCGTACAGAGCTACGGTAAATCTAGCATTAAAAACAACAAAAACATCAGTGCATGCCAGGTGATCACCAGCATAGTTTTCTTATCATCGACGGCAGTGATGTCAGTAACTTCATCACTGCTGAGGCTGTTCAGTAATGCGTGGATCGCTAATGACGTCTTTGAGCAAACTCGTTTTAGCACAGACTGAAAACTGCAGCCAACGATCCCATTCGCAGATGTACCTTTTTGGCTACAATGTCTATAAACCATACCCCAGAACTAACTTCTGAAATAATTTCTAGAAACCAAACCCTAAAAATAGCTGAACGTTTTCTCACACGCACATGCTTGTTAGTAACACACAGCACACATGCAGATAACCTCTTTCCATACAGCTTTTTTGGTTTAATTTCACAGTGATATGTTTAATACCCCCCCCACCTGGATAACTCATGAACTGCCTGAAAAGACAGAAAGGAGTGCTTACCCAACTCCTGCCCCACCCCCCCACCCCCACCCCCACCAGAAGCATCAATGCAAGTTTTCTGCTTTGTGACCGCAGGATGGACACTTCAAATTCCAGGTGAGTGCAGTAAGACCCAATACACCATGAAGACAAGGCCGAAGTGTCATCGCCGGGCCTGAACACACAGCATGAGGGTATCAGACAGGAAAGAGAGTCTTTCCCAGCACTGTAACTGACATGACGAGCCCTGGTTCTCAGAAAGGGGCGTCAGTCGGGCAAGCTTACAATCATCGACTGTGATGTAAATGACCAAACTTGGCAGGTGATTTGTGTGTTGCACAACAATTCATAAGGTACCACCACTGTACAGAAACCACACCTTAAACAGGTTATATGCAATGTAGGCATTACAAGCATAAGTCTGTAAATGTTAGTTTAAAAAGTTGAGCAGGCTATTATGCTAAAAGGTAAAAAGTCAAATGACAGACAGCTACCTTATGCTGCCATTTAGATTTTTATACCAAGTTTTTAAGTAAATTCTATTGAAACTGATAAAAGGAGCAACTGTGGCTCAATCCCACCCCCTTTGGAAAATTTCTAAAGTATATTTAGCTTGTACAGTCAAATTCCACAGGAAAGAGAAATTATAATGATCAAAGTGCTCATTTGAAAAAATAAAACTATATAATTTTTTATCGTTACAGGCTGAATTTTCTGGCTGCAGCAGCAGACGCAGTTTGTAAGTGTGATGCACAGGGATTTAAGGAGCTACAGGGTTTACACTGCAGTACAGTGCAAGGTGGAGAAGGCACATGTCTATCAGCTTCCATCAGGAGATATAATAGTGGGAGGTGCAGCTCGTCTTTTCATCTGTTTACGACACAAAGTTTTGTTTTCTGTCAGCACCTCTGAAGCGCATTCAGCCGTATGGCTCCGTAAAAGAGAGACAGAATGACAAAAAAAAGACTTTTATCTCGTCGAGTTTGCAGCACAGGTGCTGCGCGTTTCGGGTCGGAAGCGGCACGTAAGAGGACGTTAATCGCGGCGAAGGAGCTCCCGCCGCCCCTGAGCCCTTTCCTGTTCCGGAGGCTTCTCAAAGAGCACGGGCGACGGGCGCCTTTATTGCTGTTTATGAATATTCACTAGAAGATCACCGTCTGGGTCTGTGGATCTTTATCCCGTTTCAATGGCAGGCGGCCGGCTCACGTGTGTGGGATGAGATTCATACAGGAACCCCGCTGAACAAGTAGTGGAAAACATGGGCGGTCACATGACTGAGTGGGTACGTTACATTCTGCGTGGGGACGCAAAGGTTTATGGGAAGAATCTCTAAATCTAATTTCAGCACGAGGAGGCGCAGACGACAGAAAAGCCAGAGAAGCCTAGAGACTCATGAAGACCGCTGGACTTGTGAGAGAAGACGAGGTTGATATATGATGGATGGATGGATGGATGAAAAGTATATGACATTTGTGGTCTCACATTCCTGTCCTTGTGATCATATTGTTAGGCTTTGGCTATACTGCGTCATTTTTTTTCCTCGATATTGATACTCCATACAGTATATTATCTAATCACATTAAAACTGTTCACATTAATGTAAAAATAATGAAACTTGGGGGAGGGGGGCTGATGCTTCAGGGAAGCTGTTCTGTGGGTGTGCAAACTGTCTGATCAGCCCCAAAATCTAGCAGGGTCAACTTGTTTTTCTCACATTTCCCTAATTTGTAAGGTTCGCTTTGGCTGAGGGGAAAAGCCCACACCCACAGCATTTGAAACCACCCGCCCCAAGCCACCCCACCCCGAATCTGTCTGCTATGCCCCCACATCCCCACCCACCATCACCGTAAAACCCAAAATCCCCCGGGGCCGTAAAATCTGCATGTGACCAAGGAACCAGGGCAGAGAATGGCCCAAACCGTGTGGTGTGACCCCGCAAATCAGTACGCGGCACCTCCCCAGTCCCAAGATCCTTCATGGCGGACCATGGAAAATCCCACATGAAGCAGAGCCTCCCGACAGCAGTCCTGTCACCAAGGAAACGTCAACATCTCTCTGATCCCTTGACAAATACTTCATGTCTAAGTTAGTGCCCAGAAATGTCAAATGCTATTTGCCATCATCCAGCAACCACTGGAAAAAAAAAGAGAAGGAACCAAGATATTTCCATTTGTGCATTTTACGCTGATTTTAAAATCTCTGTCTCCTTGCCCCTGCAAAACCAAATCTACTAGATCTGTTTTGTGTCTTACAGGACCTCCTGAGGTGTGTCTCAGTGGAAAAAAAAAATGTCTGTGGTCTCCCCCTCCTCGTCACCCCAAAGCAGGCCGTGCTGCACTCTCCATCACAAGCATCAGCCTTGACTCTCACACCTAAAGCAGCAAGACCGACACAGCCTTCCCGCCCCACTCAAAAAAAAATCAACCAGCTGAAGACATCACCATTCTGGAAATGCACTCTGGCATGGTGCTGGGTAACAAATGCTCCTGGGTGTCACTACAAGGTCACTGACCTTGGAAAACATAACTCTCTCAGTTTATCAGGGCTGTTAGTGCAATATAAATGTCAGCACAGGGTCACGCTCTATAATTCGAAACCCCAATTCTGGCAAAATGGTTAGACCGAGCGAAACCATTGAAATCTTTATGCTTTTTTTTTTCTCAGGGTGAATGTAAGGTAGCTCACTTTTCAGTTACGTTATTTTAGTTTGAACCCTGGACGTGTATTTAGGTGGCTGTTATGTAACGTCATCATTAACCGGCTGGATTCTTGACCATAGAATTTCAGGGTCAGATTCTCGACTAAGGGAGCTCTTATGGTATAAACGTGGCTCCACGTGATGCACTCAGAGCATCCTGCTCAGGTCCTGTTGATAGGCTCCTAGGCCATGCTGTTCCTGCTGGATCGTGGTCCTCGAGTCACAGTGGGTACTGTATTGCCACTCACAGATAATCCGCTCACAGATAACTGGCATCATTTGGCCTAGCGTGGTTTCTGTGAAAAGGCCTGTATTTTGCCTCCCATAAAGCACATCCATGATAAAAGTGGTCCCCCGCCCCCGTAACCGTGCCACATGTGGTGGGGGGGTGGGGCCCGCAGGACCCCAGTTTGTTCTGGGCACCAGTGCATGGAAGTGGTAAAAATCTCACAGTTTAACTGATATGAGATAACATCAACCTCGACTCTGAGACACAAAAACATTTCTTAAAAAAACACCCCATTGGTACAATTTTTCCATCTTAAGATTATTAGCAGATGATTTAGAAGAAAACTATAGTAAGGTGAAAATGTCTGTTTTTACAACACCATTCGGGATTGAAAATGCACTCCTCTTTGTCTGTCTCATGGCACACCAAGAGAAGAGGACGGCTTAAACTTCCTGTCCCCAGCCTTCCCAAACACTCGGGGGCTGGCAGGGACGTCACGGTGCACAGATGACAACGCCACCTGTGCTGACGTTCTGCACCATCTCCACACTGGGAATTATTTATGCGTTTTTTGTGGGGGGAAAAAAAAACTGAATTTCCATGTCATGGCGCAGAGAGCAGGGTGTCAGGCTGGGGGGTGAGGGGGCAGAGAGCCGGTCCGTTAAGGGCCCAGCATACGTCACATAGGGGCCCCTGCCTCACCCGTGCTGGATGGTCAGTCTAACGGGGGCTCCGGCTGCGACGGGCTGCAGTGTAATTAAAGAATGAGTGAGACGATTCCCCTGGAAGGTAAAATAAGATTGGTGGGGGGGGGGGAGCGTCATGGGCTCTCTATCAGAACATCTCATCGGGGAAACGTAACCTAATATTTTCGCTGGCGAGGTGGTGGTGGGGGAGTCGGGGGGCTGTGTTAATCTCCTCCCTCCGTGAACCTGGTTTCAGCAGCTGCATTATTCTAATGCAAGGTGTTCAATCTGCGCTCAGCGCTAAATCCCACCCCCCATCCCCGGCGTCGCAAGTACTCTTTGTCCCAGAGGGTGAAACGATTTTCG